GGTATCTTCTCTTCCAGCCCTGTCTTAGTGCGTGGAGTGCAGCTGAGGACCGGGTGTGGAGGACAGGGATGCTTTAAAGCATTCGTTCCCTCTTTAGGTTTGTGCCTTTCCCCTGTATTCTTATCTTTGCAACCTCTGAAGAGTTAAATTAAGATGATCAGCAATAAACCGGTGTGTGAGTTGGCGTGGGATTTGGGAAAGTGTTTTCTTTTCATGGAGATCCGAGGGCATGAAGCAGGATTTCCCTTTGCATTACTTGTAATAGAGTTTTGCCTGTGCGTAACAGTGACCTCCTCCAGATCAAACTGATGTTTAGCAAAGGGTGGGCTGTGAAAGGTAATCTTTTGCCACATGATTGTTTCATTACCATTCGGTTTTACGTAGTACAAGGCAATTCTCTGCTTTTGAGGGAAAGGTGGTGGGTGTTTCAGTGCTGCAGAAGCACCTGCAAGTCCTCACGGCTGTGTTTTGACTGCAGAGCTGGCAGGGCTGGGGGCTGAATCTGAAAAGCATCAGGCCCCTCTCGTATTAGGGGAGGGCAGTGTGATGGAAACAAGTGAACTTGGCCTGGCACCCAGAGTTAATTTGCGCTTTGAATCCAGCTATGGAAAAGGGATGCAGGGAAGGAAGCAAATTTTTCCCTGTGTCAGACCGTGGTGACCTGCACTGGGCAGGGGAACTCATCCAGTCTGAGAGCGGAGCAGGTTGTCATCTGGATTCACGTTGTCCTCTTGTCTGCGGCTTTTGGGCACCTGTTACCCCCATGCATGGGGAGAAGATGCTTTTAGAAAACTCTTACCCATGTTTAAAGGAAGTGAAAAGGTGGGGAGAGTCCTTTTATCCCGCACCGTCCTCTCCAGGGCCGTAGCACTGCAGTAGGCTTTGCTTCTTCCCAGCGAGAAACACAGCAGAGGAGCTGACCTTTCTTAAAATCAAGTTAAAATTTTCTCTTATCCTTCACCCTGCATTGTGAAAGAGCAAAACTGCAAGTGGGTAAGGGTGGCAGAGGGCATCCAAGCATGGAGTGTGGTGTGGGAGGGCAAAATATTGGCTCTACTGATGCAAAAATGCTGGGAAATAAATGGGATTTTTTTGTAAGGAGCATCTGATGGGAGGGAGCTTACCTGGCTCTTGTCAAAGAGCTTTCAGAGTCGTAGCTCTGGCCAAAGAGGGGCTGCAAATGTGAGGTTTGAATCTGCCACGGAAACATGCTCTTGTGCTCTTTGCCTTTCCCAGCAGCACCAGCAGCGGTCCCCGCACATCTTCAGAGCTGGGTCCCGGCACAGCGTAAGAGATCTGCGAAGCGCTTTGCCTCTGTTGCTGGGAGACAGTCGGAGGGAGCTGGGGCTGCTTGAACAAACACGCTTTTCTCCTCGCCTCTTCTCTTCCCTCCCCCCCCCACCTATTTTTATTTTTTCCTCTTGGTGACTGGTTATAGGAAAAGCTTGGCTGGAACCAAGTGATTCTTGCTCCAAATGATCCCATGAGACTGAAGAACCTCACAGGCTTCCAGATCCACTGAAGTAAACGCCTTTTAGATAAAGATCCCAGACAGTAGGTACAAGAGTGGCTCCAGCTTAGAAATACACCTTGTAATGAAGTTAATTGACATAAATCTTCAAAGCTGAATGCCCTTAAACTTCTGGAGCTTGAACTGAATTGACCTCCAGACCTAAATTCTGCAGCGAGCCCTCAGGGTTGTGGCAGTATCCCAGAAATCCTGCCGCAGCTCGGATTCGGTGCCTGCCTATGGAAGAGAATAAAACAGTCAGTACCAAAGCCCTTGGTCTTATTTGGAAATGAATCTTGTTTTCCACCATCCCTGTATTCCCCTCCAGTCTTGCATGGCTTTTATGTACTGGTGATACATAAGGGCACCATGAATTTTCAGGGCTTTGCTGGGGAGCATTTGCTGCTTCGGAGGGGCAAAAGCAGGCGGTTCTTGCCAAAATGGTGACTGGCAAAAATGTGCATCGTGGCACTTGGGTTATCCCTGGGTTCCAGTCAGTAACCTCTGCTGAGAAATATAAGGCAATTAATGCTTTTCAGTTATTTCACATCATCTACAGGCTTGAGCAGAAGCTGCTGCATCACCCGCGCGTCCTTCAGGCTTGATCCAAACTAAGGAGAAATGGAAAAGTTCTCTAAAACAGAGCTCATGGAGAGGAGTGGGGCTGATGGAGCAAGGTGACTGCCACAAACACCTCCAACAGAGGGAAACAGTAAAAAGGCATAATTAGGGTAGGAAAAAACCTCAGTACCGCAAGGCGGGCTTCAAATTCATTTTTTTCCTCTTAACTGATTCCAGTTTAGCTGCTCCCACACTCCCGTTGCTGATGCTGCGGAGTTGCTGACTTACACGAGAGCCTTAGGTTAGCTGACAAAAAACCCCAACTTTGTCTCGCAGTTTTCAAAACCCCAAATCTGGGGCTTCCTTATTCAGCCACAGCGAGTCCAAATAGTGAGGCCAGATGCCGCGATGACCAGCCATGGCATTTTTATCTGAGGCAATGGCTAGCGATGCGAGCAGCTGCAAAAGGAACCACCCTGTGTTTGACTTTTGTCATTTAAGGGCTGCCTCTGTCCACTTGAAATCGAGATATTTTTGCCTGTTACCTGGCCTCATCTTTTTTTAATGCATCCTTTTAAGCTTGAGCGTAAAACGCAAAATCCCATTTCTCGTACAGATAGCTTGCAGTTTCTGATTAAAGTTCTGAATGACTTGTCTTCTGTAAGTAAAAGCTTTCATGTCCCAGGCTATCATATCAATTCTCCTTTGTCATTTTTACCCTCTTATGAAACAAGGGATCTGATCGCTCATCCTGCCACCCTATTCATGACTCCGTTAGCCCTTGTGTCAGCGTTTGATGGCGTCTGGCCTTTGTCCGAGACCTGCATGGCCCCGGCAGCCCCATGGAGAGCCCGGCGTTGGGGTCAGGTATCTCCCAGCTGTTTTAGCAAAGGTCACATTCGAGTTTGGGGTTGTGTCCAGGGGCAGAAGAGCGACGAACACTTTTGCCTTATGCACTGCAGGGTGTGATGGCAGAACCCATGCATCCAGCGACTTCAAAACCCTTCCTTTGACTGAAATCTCTCTTTAGAACGTATTTCACTTTTCTTCCATACATGTTTGAATTCTGAATTCCGATTATTTTTTTTTTTCAGGCTTCTTCAAGGCTCCCAGTAAACTAGCATTAACTATATTTCAAGCCCAGTAAAAGTGCTCGTCCTCAGGGTTTTCTAGGGGGAGAGGATCCACATCCTTTAATGAGTCTTCTATAGATTGCATGAATGCCCTCTCCCTGGTGAGATTTAATGCTACCAGTGCGCTGCCTGTCTGCTCCCCACAAACAGGAAGGACTTTACTGGAGATCTGACTTGGCAGGAGCCTTTTAAGACTGTCTGGATTTTTTGTTTCACCAACACCACCCCCCCCCAGTGGAGTTCAGCTTCAAGCTGCCATTGATTTTGATGGGAAGTCAAACTCCCAGCTCCCCGCAGCGTTTCTAGGAGTCCCGCTCGCCAGCCAGGCAGTTTTGGGAGCTCGTGCAGCTGCACCAAGCAAAGCATCGCACTGGGATGCAGGCAGTGCAAAGGCGGCTGGGGGATGAGGTCCAGGAAAACTTGGACTCCTTCCCAAAATCTGTCCTTAAAGGACCAGGGGAGAAAAAAAAAAAAAAAAAAAAAAGTTGTGTAAGAGTTGAAGTTTATTTCCCCCCCTCTGTTGCCAGTCCGTGTATCGGCTTTGCATTCAGCAGCAACTGCTCTGAAGTGCCTCGCAGGAATATTTTCTTGGGAGATTTCTGTTCAGGAATCTCTCACTGGGGTTTTTTGATTTGGGGTTTTGGGTTTTTTGGGGTTTGTTTGGTTGGCTTTATTTTTTAAATTTTCTGCTCATAGGCTGAAGACTGGGGTAAGCAACCAGACCTGAGCTTCTTGAGTGTCTCATTGCTCTTTAGAAAATAGGGGGCTTTAGCGCTTTAGATGATTGAAAATTCTGAATTGGCTAAGTGAGGTGCAGTTTATCAGGTCTTTCATCTTAGCAGAATTAAGTTAGTAATTGTCACTGACAGCTCTCCCTCTGCAGCATTGCATTAGAAAGCCTTGATTTATAAATTCTGCTCAAGAATTGTTTTTGAACAGTTTCTATTCTCATTTAAGTAATCTGGTAGGTTCTATGGAATTTGGAATTTGCATTAATTTTTTTTTTTTTTTGTGACAAATGCAGTCGTTTCTGTGCAGCTCTTAAGTGGACTTGAAAAGACACCATCTTGGGCAGTAGCTTTTACCTTTTTTCTTAATTGCATGAGGTTTGCCTTGAGGTATTGACTGTGAATCACTTCATTCAGGGGATGAAATTGTCTCTAGCTCCCTCTCCTGGGTAGTTAAGGCATTTGCCCCTGTGATGTTGCTGCTTTTGCAAACTTGATCTGTTTTCAAACTCTTTCTAAGCATCTTTTGCTTTTGGTGAAAGTGGTGAGGAGCACAGCGTCCATGCACAGGATTGGGAGATGTAATGGCTTAAAAAAACCAAACCAAACCAAAAATACCCACCGAAACCCAGACTGAGCTGAAGCCAAGTTTACTTTCTGCATGCTGTGAAAGAGTTCGTAAACTGCATTTCTGAGGCTTTGCTGCTGGTGAAGGTGGGGCTGCATGTTTGTACAGGGTGAGCGGAGGAGCTTGGGGTTCCTTTCCTTCTCCCTGATTTTATGCTCCAGTGGGATGGGTTTGTTGGAGCTGTTTATTTTCAGGCACTGGCAAGTTGTGGAAGGGAAGGCTCTGTGGAGTCCCAACCTCTACGCATCCCTTCTGAGTCATCCATCCTTAGGAAGACTTTTCCAGGCAAGGTGTTAAGGGTACCTTTTCTGGTTCAGAAGTACCTTAACATCCTTTCCTGGATTTCTTTGGCAGTCATGTGGCAGGTGAAATCCCGGGGCTGCCTTTAACTTTTTCTGAGGCTTGATGAATAATGCAGCATGTACTTTTTTTATTTTCAGATTGAGAAAATCATGAGTTCCATCGGCGAAGGCATTGACTTTTCTCAGGAGCAGCAGAGGATCTCAGGTAGCGTACTCAGCTCGTGTGTGTCTGTCTTGGTTTTGCTCGGTACAAAAACAAGGCGCTGGCTCACGTGTGCGGAGCTTTTTAACCTGCTTTGGCTCCCAGATCAGAAAGGAAGGCTCTGGCCCAGAAGGAGCAGACCTCAGCTTCCCAGCATGATGCTCAATACTGCTACCGGCAATTTTAATTCAATACTTCCCTAGATAGATTCATTTAATTTTATATAATGCAGCTGTCCTTCCCTCCCATCAGGCTTTTGGGGGAAATGAGGTGGATGAAGAGCATTGCAACTGGTACATCCCAGCCTGATGGGAAAGGGGGGGACCCTGATGACCCCAGTGTTGATTAATGCTCACCCAGTGACAGCAATGTGTGTGTGTGTGGTGGTGGTGGGGGTCTTGCTTCTTGTTGAAACTGCCTGTTTACAAATTTGGGGGCTTGGTATTGCTGTTTAGGATACGGTACATTTTACAGTGCTGTTTTACATCTCTGAATAGCTTTAAACAAAGGCTCATCGCTGAGAATCGTGGAGCTTTTATGAGTGGCTTCTGGTGACTGAAGTGACTCCTTATAGTCCTTCCCTTTAGGTGGAGATGAGAGTTGCTGGCTTGTGTGAGTGGTCTGGGACACTTCTTGTGCTCTTCTGCAAGCTTGCAGCACTAAAATCCGCTCCGGAGTGGCTGGCTCGTTGCCCCTGCTCGCACAGCCCAATACCCACTGTGTTCTGATACATAAAACTTCACAACGAGTCTTTGGTTCCATGTATAGGAGGAAGATCAGGTTTTCTGCACGTACAAAAAAATCTAATTTGCAGCTGAAAGATGGTGTAAGGACTCCAGCCAGTATCCTAGGGATAGAAAGTTCCACTGATCTCACGGCTCCTACAATTACTGTTGTTCTCCACATGGCCTCTGAGAAAGTCGAACTGATTGCTTACAGTTCTTTCCTGCCTTTCAGAACATGTTTGTCTCAAGTTTCTGTTCTTCTCTGGTGGATAGCAACAAAATTTTCTTTAAGCGGTCAGTCTGAAACAGAGCCGCTGCGTATTTTGGCTGGTCTCACAACCCTGACAACAATCTTGCTGTTGTTTCAAACGCATAATGCAGGAGCAAGATGCTTTTTCTTTTCCCTCTGGCTTTTTTTTTTTTTTTTTTCTTTTCTGTGTAAGTGTGGGTCTGTCCCTTTGGAAATGAGCAGAACCACTCTCTAGCCCTCCATGTTCTAGTAATGTGTTCTTTAAGGCTCACAAAATCCTTTCAGCCCTGTGAATCGTAGAATCATAGAATGGTTTGGGTGAGAAGAGACCCTTAGAGGTCACCCAGCCCAACCCCCCTGCAGGAACAGGGACACCTTGAACCACATCAGGTTGCTCACAGCCCCGTCCAACCTGGCCTAGAATGTTCCCAGGGATGGGGCCTCCACCCCCTCGCTGGGCAACCCCTGCCAGGGTTTCACCACCCTCAGTGTAAAGAATTTCTTCCTTACATCTAGTCTAAGGAGGATAGGATGGGAATTTTGTATTTAGAGTTGTCCATCAGAGCGACTATAGCCAAGATATCAAATATCCCCATTATCTCCACGGCAGTTCACCCATCCCGGCTGCACGTTCACTGCTGGGCACGTTCGGAAGGAAAGCTCTGCAGGCACGGTTGGGACGGTTTTCCTCTGGGTAAGACGGCAGCTGATGGGGAAGCACGGGCTCGGGGGGGCTGTCTGGCCGCCGGTGGGGTTCAGTGTACCTTGTGTTGTGTGAGAAGGTGCCCTTCGGAGGCTGTTTGTATCTCACAGGTTAAGAAACATTTCCTGGGGACCAGGAACACTTGAGCAAAGCCTGTGCGGGGCGCAGGGTCCTGTTCAGGCAGTTTGTCTTAACTGGAACTTACTAAGGGCCAGGTTTTAGTTTGGTCGCTTTAGAATAAGGTGTAAAGAGCTGCTTCTGTCATCCAGCCTCTAAAACAAACCGTCCGGGGCAGCTGGAGTGTTGCAGGGATTTTCCAGCAAAACTGCCGGTTTTCTGCAGCCCATAAAATGTTTTTACCAGAATATTTTAACATTTCGCCTCCAACTTTCCACCTGTAAAACTCTAGATGCAGCAGTAGTTGCTTCAAATCAGATAAATAAAATGTTTTTACCAGAATATTTTAACATTTCTCCTCCAACTCATCACAATTTCTTTTTTCCATATATTTCACCTACATCCTTCTGTGACCTTGAAGTATGTAGTAGTATTAATTTTATAATAAAACTTTAGTGTGTGAGATGATTTAGTTGCACATTTTTGTCTTTGCTTTTTCTAATTTCCATAAAGCAAGGTGAAGAAGGAATCGTGGTGTCATTTAGTGCATTGATTTTCCTCAAAGAGAACAACGTCCTCCTCCAGCCATGTTTGCAACTATTATAACTCTTATCTCCGCAATGCAGCATCAGAGCGACGGGAAATGATCCCGGGTTAAAACGCTCCCATTTCCGTAAATCTTGTAAGTAGAGGTGGCTGGGGTGTGGGGGAATAGCAAACCCTGTGCTGAGTTTGTGTTCAGGATCCGGACTGGAGCAACAGCAGGAACCAAGTCTCAGTTAAAAAACCTTCCTCCGTTGCTCCTGCAGTCACCTCATTGCACGCCCTGGCTCTGCCCAACAAACGGGATTGTTTTTCCATTTTGCCAGCTTTTTTCCTATACTTTTTGTGCCTTCTTTTGGGGAAAGTAGATGTGAAGGGGAGGTGGCACTAATAGAGGAAGGAGGCTTTGATATTGGTGCAAATGTCCCCCAGTGTGTCTCCATGCTGTTTGCAGAGCGGGGAAATAACCTACCCCTTTTCCAGCCGACCGTCTCAACCCTTCTACATTTCCAAGCTGCTCGGGAGGTTTATTTTAATTCTTCTCTTCCTGGGATGCAGCTTCACTCTGGGAACAGCAGTTTAAGGAACCTGTCCTCTCCGCTGCTGCAGGCGGAGCCGTGGGTCCTCGGGAGCGTTGTCTCGGAGTCGGTGGCCTTCAAAGGAGGAGATAATTGCTTTGGCTTTAATAGTGCCTTTTGAAACGGAGCTGTTTGTAGCCAGACACAGCGCACAGAGCTTGATTAAATGGATGCAGATGAACTCTGCTGTCTGGGGACCAAAGGTGCCTAAAGATCATGTACTGCTCAAGGGTTTTAGAGAAATCTACATCTTGAAATTGTTGTCCTAGGAAATGCTTTCTGATGGTGAGACCCGTTCAGCTGCGGCAGTGCTGTCCTCTAGGATGCTTCCTGGCTGATCGAGAGCTGCCGTCCCAATAGCCAGGAACAGTCCTGCTTTTTCGGGGACACGGCCCACTCCCGACACCTCTTGGATTTCTGGGGAGGGAATAATCCTCCCTTACCCCTTCTGTTAGGGCAGCGGCTGTGCTGGGAGCAGGACCAGGGTGATGCTGGTTGTGTGTCAGCGCGGGTGTCGTCGTGGCCGTGCTCTTTGGATCTGGTTAATCTGCCACATGCCTCAACTCGGGCGATGCTAGGCTTTTTCTGAGTATTCCTGTAGCTATCAATATCCACTAAACAAGGCTGCATGCAGGACAGGTGCTTTCCCCCTGTACTTTAAGCATGAATTCCCTTCTCAGCCTTTAAATCAGGAGCAAAGACAAAAGCAGAACTTGAGAGCTTGTTCGCCTTTACTGCAGTGTGATGGAGGGTGCTGGAGAGCTGCCACCGTGAGGGATTCTGTCCTTTTAAATCCTTCACCTCCAAACTGCTGTGTCTGAACTGCTCCGGGTAGGCAGCGTCTCCTCTTGATGAGATGCTAATACGTATCCGCACACGCAGCTCACGCTTGCCATAATAAAGCTGCTCTCGTATCCGTTTGTCACTTGGATTTTTGCTTTGGTGAGGAGGAATCCACCATGCATGCCCAGTGGGAGATTAACCTGTGCCTGCCCTAGGTGCTACGTACTGATTAGGGCTTCTATTTTCTAGGGTCAGATGCCTTTGCAGCGGGATGCAAAAAACGCTGTGTGGGTTTGGGTCTCCTGCAATGGCAACTGCTCAGCATCCTGCTTTGTGAGAAGCTCTCCCCTCCCCGAGCCGGTCCGTAGCTGTAGCAGCGTGTGTGATGGATCGATATCGTTAGTGAAGAGGTCTAACATGGAGGGGAGAGGAGGAGCCAGCACTTCAGCAAAAGCTGCCGCTGTGCAGGGAGTTTTCAGCAAAATGGACACCCATCTTTGGAAGCAGGCGGACCCAGGAGCTGCCTTGTCCTTAAGCCATGTGTTTTCCTGCAGGCTGTGCTGTGTTACGCTTGGGTTGGGATCCCTCGTATGCAGATCAGCTGCTGTACATATTCCCTGTTTCTCCTTCCTTTCCCGTGAGTGCAGCTAGCCAGAGAGCGGGCCGTGCTTTGCCAGCCCCTCGCTGCAAGGATGAAAGCTGTCCTGGGGTGCGCGCACCCTTGCATTTTTGTTTTCTAGCAGCGTTTAGCTTTTCCTCCTCAGGACTTTGCCAGGGCTGTTTTAATGCTGCAGATCACATCGCAAATGTGCGGGAGCTGCATTTCCAAAGGCTCTCACGTCCTCAAAAACAGGTGGGCTTTGAGAATATTGGGGCTCCTGACTAGGTTTGTTTCTGGAATCACTAATTTGCCTGGAAAAGTAAAATGCCTTGCTTGACATTTACTGCGGAGACAAGCATGTTTGGAGTCTTTTATACAAGTCTGTTTATGTCATGGGTCTAGGGAGAGCAGGGACCCTTGGAGTCACACTGGAAGAAGCCCAGGCCCCAAGAAGCTTGGTTTCAGGTCCCTGCCATGCTCCAGACTTCCCATACAAATTTGGGCAAATAGCTGGTTTCTGTACCTCCATAAAAAAGGGTAAGAAAACTTCTGTGTCGTGCCATGGTGTTATGGATGAGGACATTAAACTCCTGAGGCCCCTGGATGATGAGATAGTTAGATGCATCTTGGCATCTTTATAGAATTTGGAGTTAGAATCTATTTCTTTGGCCAACAGGTTCGACCCTCTGATTTCCTGGTAGAGCTTATAAGAAAATCTTCCACATATTTTTCCTGAGGGTGGGGTGGTATAGGTGGGAGGAAAGGAGAAGTCTATCACTGATGCATGTTGGTAAGTGCTTTTCCTTAGGGGAAAAGGGGAAAAAAACCCAAAACCTTCCTTCGGAGGTTAGGGAATCAAGGAACACTATCTCTTAAAGGGTAGGGGATTCCACCTAACCTTTGCCTTAAGCCGTTCTTTGGCCTGGGAACAGATGTTTGTATTCAGTCTGTGTCTCTCTGCATGTGTGTGTTGCAGTCATGCATTTACTTAGCTCCAGCAACCCACTTGTGATCATCTCTTCCTTCCAGATGTGGGTCAGAGGGGTAGGGGAGCACAGGTCTCACAGCAGAAACTCAACCCCACCACACTGCAGCGTCTCGTTTCGCTGCTGGCTTTGAACAAGGAACCTGTGTGTTGCTCGCTGCGTTACGGTGATTCGTCAGGCAGCGTTTCTCTCCCCAAAAATAGAGGAGATGAGTGGTCTCTGCTCAATAAACCAGCTTGACGCGGGCAGGAGGCATGGTGCACCGGACAGGGAATGCATCTGGGGCTTGGTGAGTTAGCGTTGACTTGAGACGTGAGGAACGTGCTTGGTGTTGTACTTGACAAAAGAGGGAGAAATTTGTTAGCAATCTGCATTTGGCTAATTGGTCTTAGTTCCAGTAAAGTCGGATGCTGGCCGTATTTCTTGCCTCTGATAGCATTAATGACTACATTCTCCTTGCCTATCCATCTTGCCTAATGCACTGCCTGAGTTTACAGCCCCCTCAGTGGATTTAAGGACTTTCAGCTGATGATCATCCCCAGCTGTAGCTGTGACTGCCTGACTTGGTTGTCTTGTGCGCTCACTTTGTGTGGGGGCAGTGGTTTCATCCCTATTTCCTTGCACTTGCAGTTTTTTCTTCCCGGTGAAGCTTGGCCGTGTGTCTTCAGGCCACAACAGGTCCTGTTAAACTGTGGCAGTTTCCATGAGCAAACGGGGTGATGCTTTTTGTCCGGCGTGGCCCGCACACTTATTTCTTCCTCCAAACAGACTCAAACTTTGCACTGAAGATCATTATTGAAACCATAACTTGTTAAAGGACCTTTCTGAGCTCTGGTAGCCCTCTCCCTTTCCTGTTTTCTTTGAAGCATGCTGTTACTGGAAAAACGTCTTGCAAGAGGAACTGAATTGCTTGGCTTGCTTTGTTTGCAGCTTTTAAATACTCTTGATTATTTCTAACTGCACTCTGTTGACTGTTTCCCCCTCTGCCACCTGCAGACCTTTCAAAGGTAGGATTCCTAAAATGTGGAGCATAAGGGGAAGGCTGGAGCTGAGAATTAGGAGTTTGTTTCAATGGGAAGTTGTGATCGGGCTCTTGCTGGGGGACACAGTGGCTGGGATTCATTTGCTCCTGTGTCACCCTCATAACGTGCAAATCTCAAATGTATTTTGGACTTCCCTGTTTTCAGCCTAGGATGTTGTGGGGCATCTGTTCTTTTTCTTTAAGTAAACCCCTCCATTCCACTCCTTCCAAATACCCTCCCCTTTGCTTTCTCTTCATTTGAAGTGGTTTTAAAAACAGAGAACCTGTACTTGGTGTCACTGTAGTTTTCCCCTTTAAAAGCAGAAATACATTTATGAGTGTACAAAAGGCTGAGTAGAGTAAATAATTTTTTAAAACAAAATTCAGGAGCTCAGAGGAAGGAACTGCTGTGGTTTCATTCCCCCTGCCAATAACCCGACAGCTTCCAGAAATGCTGTAGTAGGCAGCAAGCAGTTTCCTCACCTCTCTCTCGATAAATTAATTCTGAGCCAGCCACAAATCACTTGGATCTGTCAAAGCAGACCTGTAACATCATTTTTTTTTGAAAAGCCGAGCCATGTAGTCCATCATCGAGTAAATATTGAGAAGTCAGTAATTTCCACTACAGAGTTATAAAGCTGCTGTCTCCCTCCCCTCTCCTGCAGCTTCTGCTGCGAAGGCTGCTCACTGCTTGTACAGTGGATGGAAAAGCTGGGAGGGGTAAGAGGATGAAGAGAAGGGAGGGACAGGCAATGCGAGAGCAGGAGACAGGACTGAGAGTGGAACGGCAAGCGTGGAGCTCGCTGCCTTCAGACAAAGCACGCCGCTGCAGCGCTCTGCAAGGACGCACAATTGCTCGGTGAGGGGACACGGCTGCCTGGCTGCTGGCGGACCAGCAAGGATGGATGGCAGGGAAGGATGGAGACCCCGGGCGAGCGGGAGCTTGTTGCATAAATTCCAGGTTTAGATGCTGCCCTTCTGCACAGGCTGTGCTAGGCGAGGGAGACGGAAAGCTTTTGTGATCTCTGCGTTTCTCGTGCTGCGGTGTGCGCTGGAAAGACTGGCCAGCTCTCTCGAACTCGCCGAGCGCGGCTCCCCTGGCAGAGGAGCTCTCCTGTGGACCAGAGCAGCAGGATCCCTTACCCCAAGAATTTCCAGATAACACCGTGAGCTCTGCGTTGTGCAGCCATTGCAGCGGGCAGGGGTGGGAAGGATGGCTTGGAAGGTACCAAACAGCTTCAGCTGACCTGAAGGTTCAAAGAAAACAAACCTGGGTTTCCTGATCATCTTTTTGTTTGCATATACCCTTGAAACGGATGTGCTAAGAAGCCTGAAAAATTCTGCCTGTCTTGCATAGCAAATTCCCTGATGAAAAGGAGATCGCTGAACTTTTTTTTGTCATATTTAAGGTCTCGAGCGTTTCTAGAGGAGAGTAACAAGTCGCTGGAGTCTCTTCCCAGGGGTGAGGGAAGGGAGAGCTTGTCTGCACAGCTTCTGTAGGGTGTTGGGAAGAATCTCATTTATCAGAGGCTGAAAGGAGGTGCCAGGGCATGTCTCGGACTCGAGCTGCTGCAGGAAGAGGAGAGAGTGTGCTTGCATTTGGTTTCTTTTTGGTTTGACATGGTTTGGAAGCAAAGAACTAAAATGCCTCTTCCTCCAGAGCTGCTCCCTCTTTGAATGAGGGGCTCGGATGCAGCAGCTGCGCTTAGCTGAAGAAAATGAAGGAAGGGCAAATACAAGCATGCACCAAACACCTGGCAGGACTGAATGTATTGGGTGAAAACCGTACGGATTCCTCTGTCTCTCTTGCTGTCACCCAGTGCAGCGGTGTAGTTAGACTCGCCAGTGCAGCCGGCCCGCTCCGAGCAGCGTGCTGAAATGCCATGCGTCCGGATAGGTGGTAAAATGCCAGTGCCAGGACTCTGCGACTCATGCTCGGGGTCACTCACGCCTCTGTTCCTCTTAACACCATAACACAGAAAAAGCCCTTACCATGGTTTGCCTCTTTCAGGACTGCTTGGGGAAAAAAAGTATAAGCCTTTCTTTTCTTCTGCTGCAGTTTGTGTGCTTTCTTTGTCTTGCATGTCTTCCTGTGGACAGCTGCTCTAGTCTGGCTTCTGCTGCTTTTCTGAAAGTCCGTCGTGTCTGTTTTGTGTCTCAGCTGCATGAAGATGTATTTTCTCTCTAGCTGCTTTGTGCCTCCAATGCGCCTGGCCCTCTCCGCCGGCCCGCTGAGCAGGGTAGTGCATCCGAAGTTGCATGGACGAGAGGACCCGCACAGCTCTGTGCGCTTGTGAGCGGCTCCACTCCATTCCCTCGCACCTCCGACTGGCTGGGAATGCCTTGGGTGAAAGTTTGCTCCCCTCCTCCCGCCCCCTTCAGACGAGCCAAGGAGTGGATCCGCAGCCCTGTGGGGTTGGGCTTCCTGTGTTTGCCTGGCAAGAAAGTCGCCTGAGCCCAGAAAGCGGTGCATGTGATGTCGTGGTCCCAGGAGTGCTTCTAAACAGTTTGCCCGGGCGAGGTGTTTCTTTTTCTGAGTGTTAACTGGGATACAAATTAAACCGGCAGCCCGCGGAGGCACTGGAAGCTTGTTGTCCATGGTCTGTGCGCACAAGAGGAATTGTCTGCCAGCTGATTTGTTGTACTCTGAGCATAATTTTTTGAGTTTCTTTATGGTAATGACTATGATGTGGCAATGCCATCTGTCTTCCTCAGAGTGCCGCTGCTACCGCCTTAACGGTTTTTCCCTTTTCAAGCGTCTGCCGATTCCTCTCTCGTCAGGTTCGCGGATGCTGGAGCAGAGTGTCGGGGAGTGGCTGGAGTCCATCGGCCTGCAGCAATATGAGAGTAAGCTGCTTTTGAACGGCTTTGATGATGTCCGCTTCCTGGTAAGTTGCTGGGTGGGACCCGCGGGCTCTAACAAATGTGTTGGCCAAACCTTTATTTGCTGTCGATACCCCGTGTCAGCCGCAGAGCAGGTCTGGGTTCTGCAGCCCAGCAGAACGGTCTTGAGGGGGGGAGGTTAGGCAACAGGAAGGATTGAGGGTTGTGTTGGGTCGGGGTCATTCGTCTTCACATTTAATTCAGGTGTTACAGTTTCTTCACTATAATTTTGATAGAAAATGTTATCTACTCTGCCCCCTAAATCTTTACTATCCAATTTACTCCCAAAATGGGAACTGAACTTCACTAGTGCTTTGAAGAAATCACTGAGCAGTCTGTGTTCTGGACTGTGAAGGAGGTGGTAGACCTCTTCTTGGAAGTACCCTTACTCTAAGCATGCAGGCAGGATGTTAATGAGCTGTACTTAATTGCCTTGACAGTGTTGGCTCTGAAACCTAACAACGACAGGGCTCTAATGCCTAATGTCGAGGGTTTTTTTTAATAACCAGTGTCTAGAAACTTAAAGCTGCATGGTGTAAAAAATCTGAGCATTCATATGGAATGATGAACTGCAAAGACAGAAAATCTTGGGGCTGTGGGAGGGTTCTTGCTGCACGGCTTAAAGAAACGCTCTCAAGTTTTGCAAATAAAGAATTTCTAAAAATGGATGTAAACCTTTGGAGAAGTCATTTGGGCTAATGTAATACCCTGCCCTGGGAAGGGAGTGGGGGCATCCCTTTGGTACTGCGGGCGGTGCGGAGAGGTGATACCCAGGAGGATTACCTGATAGCCGTACTGTGAGCGGGGTGAAGGGGGTTTGGAAAACACAACGGCCACCGGACAGCGGTGAGGGTACGTGGGGGGCAGCTGGAGGAAGGGGGGAAGACAGGATAGGGCATGGATGGGGGGGCAAGGAAGTGCACTTTGGAGCAGCGCCAGTAGGGGTATTTAAAGGCAGGGTGTAATTATGCTTTTAAAAAAAATGACCTGACCAACAGGATAAATGTCCCTGTGAATGTCATGGAGTCTCCAAGAACCCCTAAAAGTTGAATAGTGTGGCAATATCCAGCCATACCTCCCGGCCTCCGTGGCAAGCAGCTTATCCCTTTGTCTCCCCTTAGCCGTGCAGGGCCAACGCTCCCCTAGAACTGGATTTTACTGTGGTTTATGCACCTTCAGTAGAGGAACTGCGGGCGACAGGCGATGGTCTTGCCAGGCACCATTCTGCCTCTGCCCTGTCCTGTTCCTAGAGCTGTGTGTGGCACCTTCCTTCTTCCCTTGGGGCGAGCTGCTCCCGCAGAAGCCCCGGGTGCCCTTGCCGGGCTCCAGCACTGCCTGCAGCCGTGGAAGATCAGGGACAGGTCCCACTGCTGCTCCCCAGCCCTTCCCAGGAGGCTCCGGCCCCCCACCGTGTTCCACCCAGCCAGTCCCAGCCCCTTGGTGGACCCTCAGCCACTGGGACCGCTGTGCTTCAGGCAGGTGCATTCAGCTCTGTACGAGGTTTCGGCATCCCCTGCAGGCTGGGGCAGTCTCATTCAACTTCTGGGATGCTCTGGAGGTGGTACAATGAATTTAAATTAACTAATACCCCATGGGTTCCTGCTTGGGATCCTCTGCTGATGGATCTTTGACCTTCGTGGTATCAGTGGGCTGCTCTTGCTGTAGCAGTTAGCAGATAAAAATGCCTTTGCTCTGCCTGGCAAGTGTGATGATAGACCTCTCAGCACAGAAGTTTAATAGGGAAGGAAATTAACTTTCTACTTCTCCCCAGAGAGGTAGGAGCTGGAGGCTCGGAAGCAGGAATTTTTATTGACTGTACTTATTTGCAGTAAATAGCAACACTTAGTTGCAAACTGTCTGATGCAGGATTTTGTCATTTATGAGATGAAAGCAAAGGCTCCTTCTACATGTCTCATAATGTGATTTTTTTTTTTTTTTTTTTTTTTTTTTGATGGTGTATGTGGTAGGAGTTGCTGGATCAGGGCTCGATGTTTTTATTCCCCATCCAATGCTGGGGAACCACTCCCAATGTAGGAAATCGGCTTCTGCTGGTTTCAGGAGGTGGGACACTCCCCCTACTCATTCCTCTCAATTTTCAAAGGTCAAATAATTTAACAAAGGTTTCCTGCAGACCCTGGCTGATTTCCATTTTGCTGCTTATCCCTTTTACTAGGAAGTTGACCCTGGCACCCCTGCCAAGACCGGCTTTAAATCCTTTCATCCAAGTCCTAGGAACTTCAAGCAGATACAGCCAGTATGAAAGTTTAATTATTCAGTATCTTTTCCTCTGTGATGTTACTTGCCTTCAGCTTCTGACGTGGGAGTAAAACCTTCAGATACGGTACAAATGTGGAACGAGTAGTTAAGTTGGGTTTAGCAGTGATTTTGATGTTCTCAGATGAATTATTAAAGTTGTTGTAAACACTGGCTAGCACAGCGAGTACTGAAAGGACCTGGGTGCTTGGCTCCTGGCACAGCAGGCTGCCTGCTCCTTTTTTTTTTTTTTTACGTAACAATTTTTTCATTAATTGCCACTTTCAATCGCTAACGAAAATATTTCAAACTAAGTGGCATTATTTTCCTGGAGTGAAATGGTTTCTGTGAAAGGATTAGTCCCTATTAGGGCCTCATTACGTTAAATATTTCAAGGTCCAAAGAATGCTGGGTAATGGTTTGCAACTTGCCAGATGGGCTACGAGGCTAATTAAGTTTTAGTAGCAAAAATGAAGAAGTTGGAGTCTTTTGATACGGAAATGCTCCTCTTTTCTGCGTCAGATTTCGCATTGCGTTACTCCCTCTGTGTAGCGCCGCGGGGGTTTTTTGGCGCGCCGAGGATGCTCCCTTCGCTGCTCCGGTCCCCAGGTGCCCATCTGTGAGCGGACAAGGAGCTTGTACGTTGGGTAGACAAGAAAAGCGTTGCAAGAGCAAACTGGTGGATGTATGGGGATAGTACAGCTATAAAACAGAGGCAGCGTCCTAGAAGAGCTCTTTAATAGACTCAAGGAGAAGCTCAGCCTGCGGTAGACAGTAACTCAAAGTAGGTTTAAGAAAACAAAGAGCGTATCCAGTGGGGACTGGTGTCTGCTGGCACCGTGGCATTTGGTGCTCTTCTTCACTTAAGAAAAATAGATGTTTAAAATGTAATATCTATCCAACAGGTAGTGCAGAGCTGGTAAGAGACAAACCCAGGATGGTGCAGAAGCCTGTCTGGTGCTGTTGAGTGCTCGTGTAGTCCTCAGTGCAGGCAGTTCTGGATTCAGGAATTCCTAATTTCCCGTGTGTTTTCAGTTGGCTCTTGTGTTCCTTTGCAGCCTGTAGTACAAAAGCCCTTGCCCCCCAGATAAGGGAAATGATTCATGAATGCACAGTATGGCAAAGTGATTTTGAAAAGTGCTCTGTAAATATATTGGGCTTCTTAATTAGATGTTAATCTAGGAAGGCAGAAACATGCATTGTTTCCAAGAATAATAATTCCGTGCTTTTCAGAAATCCCGAGGTTTGTTACTCGGTGATTAGCTGTGCTCTCCGGGCACCGCCTCGCTGGTGGTAGCTCTGTGCAAGCTGCATCTCCAGCAGCACCGGGGAGCGGGGAGGGGGCAACAATCCTGCACCCTCGCTTGGGGTCTGCTTGAACGGTTTCACGGGCAGCACTGACAGCTGAAGGAGACTTTGGAGACCTGCAGGTTTACGTTGAAGAGGCAGGGTTGGAGACGTAAACTGTCAAGTGAGCCGTGAACTTTTTTACAGGTTTTCCTATAAAAAGGGAAGGTAGAGGTGTGTTTTAGCAGGTAGCTGGGGTGGGCTGTGAGTGTCAAGCTGAGGCTCCTCTGCTTTTGGGAATTCCAGCTCAGCACCTGGGACAAAGTTTTAGTAACTTAGAGCTGGAGACCTGGCGCTCCAGCAGGACCCTTCGCCCCCAAGCTTGCGAGATCAGCACTTCAGTCGTCAGCAAACTAAAAATTTCTGTTGCAGTTCAGGTCTGCTTTGGTAAGAGAGTGATGACCGCGGTCGTTTCTGACCCTCCTCGTGTGTGTGTGTGTGTGTGTGTTTGTGTCTCCACCAGTGCTGCTTCTCTTTTGGGGGAATTCAGGACAAATAATAGAGTATTACTTGTAGTACCAATTGGGTTTTGAGTGGTGTCAGACAAGGCTTGTTGGGAATATTCTCACTTTTGGAACTTGCAGAGATTTTTGTGGGCTTGTGAATTGGTTATCGGGGAAGAACAAGTCGACACAACCCACGGTAAGGAGAAGTTAATGCGTAAATGAAGTGACTGCCGTCCTGCCTGGACACAGCTACTGGCTGTTTGGGGATGGAGCTGGGATGGGAGGCTGCTGTCGGGCTGGGTTTGCAGCAGGGCCCTCACCAATGTGTTGTGTTGTTCCAGCGCTGAAAGCAGAGTTTCTTGATCCATGTCTCCATGATGTAAAATTCTTGTTAAATCTGCAGAAGAAAACAAAATGCTGCACCATTTGCTGTGGCACACAAGAGCGTGTCGGTGGTGCTGACCGGTTTCGCAGTCGAACGCAAAGCCAAGAACACATATGAATAGTTCAGAGTAAAGGATCTTGATCAGGTATTGGCTTCGGTCAGGGGCGGGTACTGCTAACACAAGTCAGGATTATTCCAACACCAGTACCTAAAGGGGGCCTATAGGAAAGATGGGGAACGTCTTTTTAGTAGGGCCAGCTGTGTTAGGACAAGGGGAAATGGTTTTAAACTAGAACAGGGTAGGTTCAGGCTAGAGGTAAGGAGGAAATTTTTTACAATGAGGGTGGTAAAACACTGGAACAGGTTGCCCAGAGAGGTGGTGGAGGCCCCATCCCTGGGAACATTCAAGGCCAGGTTGGATGGGGCTCTGAGCAACCTGATCTAGTTAGCGGTGTCCCTGCTCACTGCAGGGGGGTTGGACTAGATGACCACTAGTGGTCCCTTCCAACCCTAAGCATTCTATGATTCTATGATCTTTGCCGTGACATTAAAGCTTACTTGCCAGTGGACGTGT